CATTTAATTGACGGAAAGACGAAATTGAAGATTGAAGTTAAAGAATGTTTTTGGTACTTTCTGAAGTTTAAGGATGAATTGGTTCAAAAATAAAAGTTGAGGGACCAATTCAAATATTTAACCTAAAAAAATATGTTTGCCACATCAGCATCACTATTCAATTAATCCTTAAATAGAAAAAGTTGAAAGTTGACATCCTTAAATAAAAAATGTTGAAAGTTGACATCCTTATTTAGAAACTAACAAAGTTAACATCCTTATTTAGAAAAAAATTGAAAGTTAACATCCTTATTTAGAAAAAAATTGAAAGTTGACATCATTATTTAGAAACTGATAAAGTTAACATTCTTAAATAGAAAAAAGTGCAAAGTTGGAATCATTATTTGCACCTTTACTCGGGTTTGGGTTAAATGGGTTTTGGGGTTTTTTTTTTTTTTTTTTGGTAATTGGGCTTGAGTTTGGGTTTTGGTTTAGTGTTAATGAACTTCACCCCTCCAACTTTTGATTTCTTCAATTGAGTCCCTTGTCTTAATTTCCTTCATCTTCTTTTTCCAATCTTCTTCGTAAAATTTCCTTTTTGCCCCCCATTTTTGTTTGAACCTAACAAGTAAAACAAAGACAAAATATATTAGTTAAAATAAAAATAAAAATAAAATAAAATTCTGCTAAAATTTGAGTTATGACAATGCCAATATTGGTGTATCAATTCCTTTTCTAAACAAAAGACATACCCCTATTTGGATTAATCCTATATGGGCAAAGTTGTACTTATTTCTATACTTCTTTATCCTTTTAGGATCTAATAACAAAATCATTACACTTCCTTCCTCAGTTTGTTCTACCCATGTTACTTCTTCAAAACTATCTATATTGAGGCTCCATTTACTTCCTTTGTTTACCTCTTTTTTGTCTTTCTTAGGCAACTTCCATGCAATAGCTTTGCCAGCAATTTCTTCAATTTTCATGCTTTCATGAGATTCATATAGGGTTCCTAATGAGGCAATTTCTGAGGTCGACCCTATAAAGGTTGTTGATGTCAATGCTTCTTTCATCATTCCTATGACTTCCTCTTCGAACTCATTTTCAGACTCATTACTAGATTCATTCCATTCATAAATACTTTCACTATCTAATATTTCACTTGCTAACTCACTTCCAGATATTATTCCTACTTTTGAATCCAACTCTTCAAATGCTCGTATTATCTTTATATTCTTTTTTGGATTCTTCTTTGGGTAGTTAGGTGCTATATGTCCTTTTTCCTTGCATATCCAACATGTGCATTCTAACTTTGGTTTTCCCAATGGGCATGCTGGACTCTTCTTATAATTTTTAAATTTTTAAAATTTTTTCTTCTTGAATGATTTTTCTTTTTTAAAATTCCGTTTATTTCTTTTAAATTTATCTACTTTTTTAAAATATTTTTAAAATTTCTTTTTCTTCTTTTTAGTTTCATAACCATATTACCCAAGCATGTCTATTAGATATGCGCAACTATTCTTATCCATACTATCCTCTAGTCTCTTCTTAGAATCTCTTATTGCTAAGGTGTTTGTGTAATATTCTCTAAGTATCTTTTTAATAAATTGTGCTCTTAACCCTAGTGTGTCCACCCTCTCATCATCTTCTTTTAAATATTTTTCATGTCTCTCCAGTATCAATTTGTTACATGGGTTCGATAACTTTTGAAAGAATTGATCTATGCAGAAAGGTGTTTCTGAATTTTTTAAATTATAGTTATACTTCTAAAATTCACAAGAACATTCATCAAATCTACCCATCTTACTTATTCTTTGCTTTGTTTATATTTCTCTTATACTTTTTTCAAATAATCCTTTGGTATCTTGTTCTCCATAGAACTCTTTCTTTAGCTCTCTAGCCGTCTACTAAGCTAATTTTGGCTTTTCTTGTGTTCTAGCATCAAAGTTTGGTGCATCTTTACATCTTTCCTAGAAATTCTTAGTGTTTCCTCTAAGTGTTGCCTCTAAATATCCTTTAGTGAATGTCCAATCCCAAGCAACATTTCCTTCGACTACTAGGTCACTAGCCTACGCACAATCTTCTACTTCTTTCTCTGGATAAATGGCACAATCTATATCAAAGTATACACCTGTAGTTGAAACTGCTTGCATTTTTCTATTTAATTTAGGTAGGAATTCATGTTTAACAGGACTGCTATATTTTCCTTCCCTTACTGTTCCTTCCATTTTTCCAAGCTCTGTTTCTCTCATATAGGTAAAATTTTGACCATTTCCTACTAATATTTCTTCTACAAATTTAGGAGGTGGGGGTAGTTTCCCAAACTTTTCTTTTTCTTTCTTTAAACAGTTCTTATATGCTTCAACATATTGATTCATTACTTCTTCATCATTGAATTCCCCTTTTTCTTCTTTTTTACCAGAAGGTCCATCTCCTTCAAAAGGACTTCCTTCTTCCTTTTTTGTTATTTTTATGTTTTCCATAGTGAATTCTGACTCTTGTAATATATGTTCCTAATATACCATTTCTTCAACATTTTCAACGTTATCCCAATTCTCAATGATTTCTTCTTTAGTCATACTTTCTCCTATTGGTTTTAGGTGCTCATGTGGGTTTAACTTAAACTTTCCCCAGTCAAAAATCCACATCTCATGTTTTTTATCTGCTTGGACTTCTTTTCTGTCATATTTTTAAGATTTTCTTCTAAAGATTTTAGTAATATCTTATTTTCTTCATTTAAATCTAATTTTCCAATTTCAATAAACGCGTCTAATAATTTCTTTATTTTTTCTACTTTCGTAGATACATAATATAATAAATCTAGGACAAAGTTTAATATTCCCTTGATTTCCTTAGAACTGCTATGATTGTTGTGCTTAAATTCTTTAGATTCAAGATCTAACTAACAATAATTAATATTTGAATCCCAAAGTGTCATTTTGGAATTTTTTTACTTTAAGGACTCAATTGTAGATATACCTTTTTATGTTTAGCCAATATTTTCACAAAGGGGTTATTTCCTTTAAGTTTTTGAAGTTGATGGGCAAAAGTGTTAATGTATAAGGTGAGAGGTTAAAACAATTAGACTTATTGAGGTAAAGGGCTAATAGTAGCCTTTAGCCCCTAGGGAAGAGGATGGCAAGGAAAGGAAGTGGAAAAAAAAAATCCTCTATTTGGTTAAAAAAAAATTAGAAGGGAGGGGAGAGGAAGGAAGTTATTTACATTGTTTTTTCTTTTAATTCTTTTACCTCATATTTGGTTTGACGAAAATGGAGGGAAGATGATGGAATGGGAAGCAAATAGAAGGATCCACCCTTCCTTTCTCCTCCCTTCCCACCCTTCTTTATCCTCATTTGAAAAAGTAAAATAAAGAACTCTTCTCCTTTTTAAATTTTTTGTTAACCATATAAAGGAAATTTCACTTTTTCCCTCCCCTTCCCTCATTTCAACCTGAACATATAACTATTTATCCAAATGAAGGGCAAGGAGGGAGAAAAATGGACGGACAAGACATCCTTCCATTTAGCTCCCTTAACATCCATATCTCTCAAACTAAACACATGGTAGATGTTGCGGATGAAATTTTTAAGGGATATAAGTATAAAGAAATATAGAAAGACATTGGGTTGAGGCATGGACTTTCAATTTTGCTTTTGTGATTTTGAATAGATTTTGAATTCAAATGCAAAATTATAACATAATTTTTAGGGTTATAACCTATCTGTTTGAATATAATGATTTTTATATTAGTTATTTAGAATATTTGAAAGGAAAATATGCATATCAGTCTTGATTTTTGTAAGAAAATTGGAGTATTAACTTTAAGAACATCACCTTTCAATTAATTTTTCAAAAATTAACTATTAAATTTAATATTTTATTGATATAGATCATGCATATTCACTTTTTAATTGATTTAATATCTATAATCATTTGATTATGAAATTTGTATTTTTTAATATATATTTAATAGTGATAAATTTTTTATAATTAATAAACTCATTATATATATTCAATCAATTTAAAAACTAATATGCATGATTTAAATAAATAGAATATTAAATTTAATGATTGATTTTTGAAAATATTCATTAAATATATTGTTTTCAAAATTTAGACTCTAATTTTTTTTAAGATTAGAAACTAATATGTACTATCTCTCAAATCAAAAACAATTTTTTATTATTAATATAGTAAAAGCTGGCTTTTATAGTTATACTCTTCGGTTTTTGGTTTTCAAGCCCTTAAACCAATTAACCAAATGCCAACCAAAATTTTTCATTTACAACAAAAACCGGCAATTATGTGAACGAAAATCATTTAAACCGAACCATTCAATTAATTTTCAATCGATTTTAATTAACGTTTCGGTTCGAAATTTTTTGGTTTTTTTTTTTTTTTTGCATACTCCCTTACCTCTAACATCTTCGTTCTCTTGCCATTTCAAAAGCTTGTCTTTTTAGGTGCAAAATATCATTGATTTGCATCAAGGAAGGGAGTCGGTTCTAGGACTTTCTTTCTAGGGTTTCCCATGAAGAATATCCTGAGGTGAATCCTTTAGGTTTAGTGATCCTACTTCTCGTTTCCATCTGTTCTCTTTATTTCAATCCTTGGGAATAGTTTCAGTGTTTCTTCTTGCTTGAATCACCTGAATTGCTTTCTTGTTATTGTACGAGGCAAAACAATCTACAGTGCATTAAATTCGTCTCAACTACTGCTTTAATTTCTATCTCACAGTCAAGATTTAAGACTTCTTGTAGAAGTGATGGGGGAGCACTCTAAGGAGGGAGCAACTGTTTCCCTTCCTTTGGACCACACCCCAGTGGTACGATTGGAATCTACCCAAGAACACGAAGCCAGTGAGCTACACCGCTTCTCTTTTGCTAAACGATTAGTCACCACACATAAGGACGTTCGCAGTG